TAATTATATATGATTATATATAATTCTATATAATTATATATGTGATTCCATATATAATCATATATGATTATATATAATTATATATGATTATATAGAAACATTTTTTCTCGGGTTATCAATATTTTTTATACATTTGTAATGATAACATGTTCACTTGCGGAGCTTCATTAGGTTTTAAAATTATTTTCTATTTATCTTACGATAAATTGTTAGTTCTACATACTTTATTCGCATTGATAAAATTTACGTGGACAAATGAGGTGAAAAAAATAACTATGTGTGATTAAGTAAAGTATATGTTGGTGTTTATAATTATTCCTTAGTCTTCTTCAAATTGACGATATAGAAGGCTTATGGTTCGTAAGTATAACCAATTTTCCTCAAAATCATGAATTTAAAAATATAATGCTTTATCTAATAATAATTATAAATAACTAATAAATTACAATTTTTCATTTTTTTTAGAAATACAGACGTTAATTAACATTTATAAAACTAAAATTGGTTTTGAGGTTGATCAAATTAAAGTTAGATAAGCTTTTTAAGGGTAAAAAAAAGATACTTTTATTTTAAAACTTATAATCACAGATCTAACTTTCTTCTTATGAGACAATTCAGCGATCATGCGCCACCTGTTGGAGATTTTAAACACCACAGTAGGTTAAAAAATTATTAATAGGCATATATGACCTTTCAGGTTATTATTCAGCTGAATTATAATGTCACTAGTGTAAAAATATTTCTAAACTTTTTTTTTTGTAGTTACTCGAACTTAAACTATGCATTAGCTTAAGTAACTATTGATCAATAGTTATATGGATTATATTTTAATAAATATTCCTCTATCATAGTAAACAAAAAATTATTAGCTGACTGAAAGGATGTAACGGACGATATCTTAGATAGCTTAGCTGGAAGAGCCTTTAATGCGTAACCAGGAGATCCGGGTTCGAATCCCGGTCTGGGCTGTCGGAATTTTTTTTTCTGTTTTTTGAGTTAAAGTTAATCAAGATGACTATTAATCCGATATTTAATTATAACTAATTTAAGTAACTAATTATTGGACTCAATATAATAAATAATATTATAAAGAAAAATTTCTTGGCTGGAGAACAAAATTTTTGGCTCAAAAAAATTTGTCGGGTGTTAAATAAAAATTCTAATTCTAATTCATCCGATCACCCTACTACATATGAACTCATGCTCAATGAATGTGATCACAATCATGATTGCAATGAATAATCCCCAGTTGCCTTATGTATATAATCAATAGCATTTTTCCCTAACATTAAATGTTTAACAAATCAAACGGTCCCAGACACTTATCGTGTAATGTGGACCTTTTCAATAAACTAATGTTACTATCTTACGAGAGCTATATACAATCTTCTATAAGTTAAATTAAACGGGGGAATAAATTACATTAGCTTTTCAAGTTTGTAAGTTTGTGCTTCATGCTATCTCACTAATAATACCAATTTAACAAAGTGTAGCATGTCCCTATTAAATTATCCGTGCCTAGTATTATATATAAGACGGGGTTTGTGCTACTATACTTGATTCAGACAATAACTGTCTGACGTGCTGCAGATACTTATGTAATATTGTGTTTACACGCTGTTAATAAGTTCACGGACAAATCCTAAGATTTATAAATTTTTTTCAAGGTTTGGGATTAAAAGTGATTTTTATTTAAAAATAAAAAATGTCAAATTTTTCACGCGTTGATCCAAGCGGAAAAATAGTGTACAAAATTTTGAGTGAAGATAAAGTTGAAGCGGCATTGGAAGTTCAACAGAAGTCAATGTGTGATGAAAATGTCGCGATTGGAGTTGGGCTTTATGAAGAAGAAAATGCACCTGAATCTATGGAGTGCGTTTTTAGAGAAGTAATAAAGGATAATTGCACTATTGTTGGCATTGATATTGAAACAGATGATGTTGTTGCTGTGTCATTTAATAAATTACATGTGAGTTAATTTAATGAATTACTTTAAAAATTTTTATTAGAAACAGTAGCAATTTATTGCTTACGCAATTTGATTTTTAAAAGAAAAAAAAATCATTTTTTACAGAGAGTATTTTATGATATTTTTTAAATTATTCCCGCCTAATTTTCTTGTCATATATGCGCGCGCCTAAAAAAAAATCAAATATGTACATCTGATATCGCTTCGCGGTATGAGGCGTGCAATATCAATCTTTTTGTTTTTACACCAGATTTCACTGAAAAATATTTATTTTTATTATTCAATTTGTGATTTTTTTTCTTTACAAATAAAGGAATATATTTTTAATTACCAGACAAAAGCTCAAGAAGATGAACCGAATTTTTTTGTAGAAATAGTGGAAAGTCACATTAAATCAGGCCCTGCTCTTGCTTTGATACAATTCATCGATGAAGTAAGTCGTTTAATTTAAATTAATATCATCAATCATCATCATGTTTATTATTTTCCGTCGTTAGTTACTGCATTAATAGACTAGAAAGGACAAATTAATTTATTTCATGATAAACTGACTTATTTATCAATTTAAAAAAAATTTCTGCTCTTCTTTATTAAAAATTTTTTTCATCTTTTGTTTTAGGTTGAGTCAAAAGTGAATATATTCGAAAAATACAATGCTTCAGCGGCGATGGAGATTTTTTACATTGGAACTCATCCAAACTATCGAGGTCGTCGGATCGGTCAGGAAATTTTAGGGGCTTCGATAGCATTAGCAGCAGAATTAAAAGACCCGATAAATGGCAGCAAAGTCAAGCCGGAAGCTATTTTTGGAGTGTTTACTTCAAATTACAGCCAGAAACTCGCTGAGTACCATCATTTTGAATGGTTATCCACTGTTGATTATTCTGACTTTGAGTTCTTCGGAAAAAAAATGTCGGATAGAATAAAAAGCAGCGAGCATAAAACTTCGAAACTTGGGGCTAGATCAATATGATGTAAAAATAAAATTGATTCTTATTAAAATTATTATAAAATAAATTTAATTATGAAAAATTAAAATTTTTCATTATTAAATAATGACTTTTGTTAAATTGCACTTTTACTTTCTTAAATATTGACATTTTTCAATATGTAAACTCATCCCGATGTTACACTCATCGAGACCTTTTATTTGAGTACCCACATGCATTTTTATATATTTTTCATATATACATATATGTAATATATATATAAATATATAAATATATGAAAAATTGATGTGGGTACTCAAATGGAAGGTATCGATGAGTGTAACATCAGGATGAGCTTATATCTCTAAAAATGTCAAAATTTCACAAGATACAAGGTCATTTCTTAATTACGTAATATATATCTTAAAGATATAAGCTCATCCTGATGTTACACTCATCAACAGCTTTCTTTTGAGTACCCACATGCATTTTTGATATATTTTTCATATATACATATATATAATATATATAAATATATGGAAAATCGATGTGGGTACTCAAATGAAAGGTCTCGATGAGCGTAATATCGGGATGAGCTTATTATATCTTTAAAAATGTCTGTAGTTAACAAGATACAATTTTACGGCGTATAATTTTATAATAATAACATATATTTATTTCAGCTTATACTCCTCGACGTAGAAATTTATTAATTAAATAAATTACTTATAACAAAAAATGTCATTTGGTGATGCCAAATATATTTTCTTTAAAACGTTTATTATCGATTACACGAGGTCAAAAACATAATTCAATTTTTACAAAAATTAACAATTAAGGCATAATAAATTTATTTAAATAAAAATTATAATTCTCCTGATTAGCATGAGTTCTCTAATATAGCACCATGTCAAATAATAATGGCTCATAAAACTCATTTAAATAATTTTGATAGCTACAACAATTCTCTGAGTTATCGGTGGTAAACAATACCTTATCAATTATATCGTTTAGCTCAGCTTGACTATAAACACATTCTTCTAGGTTTGGTTTGACGTTCTGATACCAATCCTCTTTCCTTTCTTCCACATAATGGTACTGATCCTGGTTGACGTTCTGGTACCAATCCTCTTTCTATTCTTCCACTTGACGGTTCTGACCCTGGTTGACGTTCTGGTACCAATTCTCTTTCTGTTCATCCACTTGACAGGTCTGATCCTGGTTGACGTTCTGGTAGAAATTATCCCTTTCTTTTCTTCGACGATTTCCGAACCAATTGTTAACTTGCCTCTCCGTAAGACCTAATGATTCAGCAATCTGCTCTCTGATTGATGTACGGGGATACCGATTCTTTCGAAACGTTTCTTCTAAGAAAAGACATTGGTCTTTAGTGAATGTTATCTTCTGCTGTTTCTTCTCCATTATTTTTCTCCAAGTTATTTTAACTAAAACACTTAATTTATTAATTACACTCGGTCACTCGGTCACTCAAGAAATTATTAGTACTGTGATAGCCGAGGCAGATATCTCGGATGATCGACAGGAACGAAAAATTTTGTCGCCAGATATTTATAGATGGTCTCAACCAATAGTTACCCTAAGAAGAAACCTGATTGGCGAAAAATCTGGGGTCACCTTCTATACTTTTCGGTCATTGTAGAAACTGACCATAATTAGATAATCTGTTAACAACAGCCATGTAAACATACAAGGTTATTTTGAATAAAAGATCAACTAGAGTATTTATAAATATTATTATGACGGTGATTATTTTTGAACTTCTTCCTTAGAAAATCATTGTTTTTCAAAGATTAGGAAAATAGTGGTTTCACACCGACTTTAGAAAATCAATTTCTCGATCATCAGACCTTCATGTTTGAAGATGTTAGTAATCTATTCTGACTATATTAATGAGGATTTTCTGATGTACGTAGGTGTTTATATGTGCAAACCTTTTATAACTTTTAAATGGCTTGACCTATCATAATGCAGTTTACAGAACAAAAGTTGTACAACCTTAACTTTCAAGTTCGAAAAATCTTAAGTTTCAAATTTTCGAAGAAATATTTGTTTTTTTTTTTTTCTGACAGTGTTTAAGGAGATTCAAGTACCGTCCTAGTGTAAGGAATGTCTATAAATAAATTAGGAAAATGGTTGACCTTGAAGGCTATCCTCACAACTTTTCGCTATTAGCGCTTAAAATTGCATTTATGACGTTTTTGAGCTCTTCGAGCTCAAAAAAACAATTTGTGTAATGAAAATGAAGTAAGCTGACATTTCAAAATTTTTTATTGAAGAAATTTCAATTAAATAATTAAAAAAAAAATTTCACATGTAAAAAACTTGAAAAACTTCAAGTGCAATTTTTTAGAAATTTTTTTTTAGTTGTAATTTAATTTAAAAAAAAAATCAAAAATTTTTAGACGTCTGCTAACTTCAGTGTCATTTTATTTATTATTTTTATTTATTTATTCTATGTTTAGTTATTATTAAGGGTATTAAGAAATTCTTCGAAATTTATTGCAATAATGATTAGTACCTATAGTTATAACTTAGGCTAAATTTTTCCTTAGAAAATATTAATGGATAAAAAATTATTCAAGATAACCTTAGCAGATATTCTCAAGATCAAAAAAATTATGACCAAATAATCAGTTAATTCTCTGATAGCCGCTAAGTTAATTTTCACAAATATTTTTTACCCCAAATTTTTTTTCCGTATCAGGGTATAAATGTTTGCAAGTTTTACCCTTTTGTAATAAGTTTATCGGGCATCGGTTGCATTTAGAACAGCAATCGGTAAATATGTTACAATCAGGATCGGTAGAATTGAATTGCGCGTCACCTAACAGAAAATAATAAAAACTGTTACATACAAAAAATGTCGGTGCACAAGAAAGTAATGATGTGAATAATTTTGACGTGTCTGAAAATAAAATTAAAAAAAAGCGTCGAAATAGTGAGAATCAATGACTGGCGGTAAAAGAAGATAATGAGTTGCAATAATCCGCCACGTGTATAAAATATATTATTTAAATTAGATTATATTAACTAAATAATTTTGTAAATTTTTACGCTCCGTCATTTTTAAATTTTTAAATTTATCCTCCATTAACCTAAAATGGCTGTAAGTAGACTTTTTTAATCAAATTACTATTAATTATTGAATATAAATAATTATTTTTAGCCACCAGTTAAAAGTACAAAAACCGCAACGAAAGGAGCGAAGCAAATAGCTGAAGAAAATGTGTCGACTCTAAATTTTTACAGAAATATGGCATTTGGGGCCACGGTATTTTATTTGACAATCATGATGGTCTTCTTTCAATTTACTACACTGTCTATAGTATGTATATGTTATTGATACTTATCCTTATCATGTTATCTTTATCGATAGACTATACTTAAATTTTTTTTTTCATTTATTTCATTGGAACAGAAGAAAATATTTTTTAAAAATTGAACTTGAAGTTTTTCAATTTTTTTCTAAATAAAGTTTTTTTTTTATTTTTTTGAAATAATTATTTCAATAACAAAAATAGTTTTTATGTCGGTTCAATTAATTTTCATAATATTAGTTTATTCTTTTAGTTCATGTAACAGGAAAATAATATTTTTTGGAAATTTTCTAAAATTTTATGTTGACATAAAATTTGTAAAAATCTAAAATTTTATAAAAATTATTATTTCCTGGTCATTTATAAAATCATTCTCACCAATAGTCAATTTATGATGATACATAATTAATAAATGACCTTTTATCTTTTGAAATCTTGACATTTTTAAAGATATAAGCTCATCCTGGTGTTACACTTATCGAGACCTTTCATTTGAGTACCCACATCAATTTTTCATATATTTTATATAT